TCTGTTAACAATTGCAGTTACAAATTTTACTTAATTTATATTGCATTATTTGAAATGCGAATATTCATACAGGGTGTCCCTAAAGTCTGGACACATAAGGAAATCTCATTAATTGTAATTGTAATTTTTCCTTCATAGATTAAATATGCCTTTGTCGAAGAAAGAAAGTATAGAATTGATATTTCTCAGTAAACGTGAAGGATAGTTATATCGAAGCAGATGAATTTAATATACGTCGTCTAAGGAGGATTATTGAAGACGTTATTTAATATTTCATTTGAATAAAACGTGGAAATATTGTGTTTTTTTTTCGACTTTACATACACTTTCACACCCATAATCGTTCTTTCGTTAATATGATGATTGAAGTGGGGGTACGTGTGAACATCTTTCCATGTGAGAAAGATATTTAGAAATCAGAAGACACAGATAATTCGTCAAAAGGCAAATTACGCAGTTAAATCACGATTCACATTATTCTCAGGAGTCGCTGGATTGGAAAATCGCGCGCGTAGGTACCTGCGGGCGCGTTGCATCGGTATCTTAATAAAGCGCGGATATATAGTAATCATTCGAGTTATACGCCAGCACGAAACAAACATTAAGGCGTATGGTAGTCCTCGCAACGAGTCCCGTCGAGTTACGAGTCACGCCGCACTGAGGTCGATCGAATAACTTTGATCGCACGCGAATAATCTAACGCTCCGAACAGAGATTTAGGGCTTGTATCTCGGTTATCTCTGTTCTACACGCGGAAAACTTTAACTTTCAACCCTGAACAAAATGTGTACATTTATCATATAATTGAGCGAAACGTCGAATTTTTATTTAGATATACATTTTCACTACCAATAATCCAATACTAACTATAACCCGATACAACAACGAATACACATTTCTAATAATGATGTATACTTACTATGTAATTACTTTGAAACTGGACTCCTTTAAAAGTAGACGCGTGCAAAACTGGGAACTGGGAGACATTAACGCGTTGCGTGGAACATCGACGTTGCATGACACCAACCGATTACACCTCGCGTTACGCGGCACGGTGTCTCGATGTAATTGACGCGTGGCAATAATATCGTCCTTATTATGACAATTACAAGCGACGCCTGGTTTCACAGCGTGACTCCGTCGTAATTGAGCTCGTTGCAAATGTTTAAATCACTTCGCAGGTAGTTAAGCGAATCACAGTGAACCGCTACGAGTTCCGTCTTAGTATTATGTACTCTAGCATCTTGCAATTAGACAATGAAGAAAACCTTATAATTTTGTTAATATCTCTTTAAGTATCCTCATTTTCACAGTAAAATTGTATAAAACAGTACATTAATATAGGTGAGTGTTTCAAGTTAGAATAAGAGATGAAAAGTCGCGTTTGAAGATTGTTCTATACACGCATTTCCTAGAAAATTTGTACGTGTAAAGGAAATTAATTTTTTGTTATATAAACGCGAAAATGAATTTTAAGAAATATAATTTTTATGCAAGATCAGACAATATGAAACGAACTGAGATTGGCGATCGGGCTAGTATCGATGCGGCGTATCTCGTACGCGAGATTAATAGGGAATAACCGAAGATTTCAGGCAGCGCACGAGTCCGTAATCAGGGAATCATCTTCTTGAGGCTCGGCCACCCTCGAGATTTCCGCACGCAAGCTAACCGAGGATTGAAGGCCGCGCGCGTAAATTCGCAGTACATCGCGTCGGGGTAAACCGAGATACAATTAGGATTTGCCAGTGAAAAAGATCGCGACTGCGGAGGGGCTTCGTTCCGCCGCGCTGCGCCGCCTGGTTGCCAGCCCGGCTTTTATATCTGATCGCAAGGTTCACAGGCGGAGGACACTTTACGACTCCGAGTTTGAATCGAGTGGGACCACGGCGGAGAAAAATCGCGATCACGCGTGCTTCTGGGTGGTTCCGGCTGGTTTCTTCGATCGATTCGAGATCGACGCCGCAGCGCCGGTGTAAATGGTGGGTTCCGTGGTTTCTGGTTACTCGCAGGATAGCTTCGTGTTCTTTGGATTGTAATGGCAGCGGTTAACGAGTGTTTACGCTGTCTCTTGCATCCCATCGAAGAATTATCGAACGGCGTCGAGCCTCCTCTTAGGCTTTACATTTAATGTACTAAATACTTTTCGAAGAGACTTTGGACAACGGGCTAAATTTCGAGATAACTTGTCAATTGTTAAAAACATTTAAGAATTTTCAGTTAATTTATGCAGTAGAATAACCAGTTAAAATTTCGTCTAGTATTGTGTTAAACACCGAACGACCCATTCTAACAGTGTACATACTAAGTTTTATATGTGTGTCATGACACGTAGTGTCAGGATTGATCGGATAACAATGCTGCGTGTGACTCAGGCGCAGCAATGAATTCGTGGAATCGCCGACAGCAGGACGAACGGCTTGTCCCTTCGGGGAGATCCTGACTAGAATGCCAACGCTTCACGAAATGGATCAGTGAAATCCCGAAACTCTCCAGGCACGTGTGTCACAAATACGCGCCATACAATTGAATTAATTATGTACAGCGAGATACTGTGTCAAGAAACCCTTAGAAATTATACGGTGGGTAAACTAATTCCAGATATCGGTGCTTCATTAGTCTTCGCATTCTTTCTTTTCCATTTAGACAATATGTTTCGATTAAATTATATATTATATGAAATCATACATAAAATGCGATCACTTTTAACTTGTATATGTATATCAGTTGATCGGTATGATTTTTTAACGCGATTTTCAAGGTGATAATTCGTGAGAAATCGGTTTAACTAGCTAGGCAATCGAAGAGAAGATATCGCAGCGAATTCCATCGCGAATGGTTTCGTGCTCTCCGCTCGTTACTCTCTTTCCGTTAACCGGACTCTGTTTAACCGCGCCTAAATCTTGTAAACGCGAGCTTTACTATTTCTTATTATAAACTTGATCTCGTTTTAATTCCTTATCATTAAAAAAGCGTAGTTCCGTCGAAGCTCGAGTTGGTGATTCAAATAAGGAACAGTTGTAATCGTTGTTCTACGCCGGACGAGTTTGAATCTTGTTCAGGGTGAGGGGAGAGATTGGAACGATGCATCGGGGCACCGCGTAGGTCGCCGCTCTTCTCGGCCGATGACGTGTTCAGCGCGCGTTTCGCGGAATGCCACTCGCAGAGCTGATTGTAACGGAGCTAAGCCCGCGGGCAACTCTCGTCAGTGAGTGTGAGGCGTGTGTGCGAGCGTGCACGCTGCATGGACGCGTGGGCGTTTGGCTCGGGCAGGTGGATGCCTGGCCCGCGGCGCTAACGTGCGGCCGCACACGACCGCTCCTTTTCCACTCCTCTTCTCTTTTTGTTCGTTCTTGCGTCTGTGACTATGAACCCGGGTCTGCTTTTTTCAATCTAACTAAAAATATTTTCATTCCTTGTTAAATTCTAGTTACATGCAATATGAAACTGTTATAAAGATGAATAAATATTAAACTTCCATAGATTTCAGAGTTTCGCAATTCCGGCGGAAATAACATATTGAAAACCGTTTCCATTGAATTATTGTTTATTTTACTATTTCTATAGTTTGCACCGCGATATTCGTCAAGGGAACGAATCACGTTGCGGTTGCAACGCAAAAGGTGAACTTTAACTTTATTTGGAAAAATTAGACACAATCCCCTCGCGTATTCGCTGTTGAAGCGGATGGTCTCAGGTTGGTTTTGTTTGCGTTGATCGTGGGTCAGGAGCTTGGCAGCATGTGCGGTGATTGCCGTAACCATCGGGCACGCCTGCTCGGCCAGACCTGGTCATTCTCTCTTTCTCTCTCTCTCTCTCTCTCTCTCTCTCTCTCTCTCTCCTGGCCCCACTATCTCGCTGCACGTCAGTGCACCGAATGCACTTTGCTGCACGCTGCCCCGATGCCAATGTATCACCTATCTACCTGCGACCGTACGCAACTGTTCCTCTCTCCTTCCACTCCTACCCCTCTCTTCTTATATGCCTCCTCTGCCTGCCGCCTTCGTCCGTTTCCTCTTCGCTTCGTGAACCGCTCGCGCTGTCGTGCACCTCCGCGAGTCTACCTCGTTTTGCTCTCGTTTCCTCGGATAGCTGCTGTTGCCCGTTCGCTTCCATTCGCCCGCCGAGACCTCTCTCTTCGATTCTCCTCTCGGATATATTGGATTCTTCTGTCTGGCTCTCCGCGTTGCTGCTTCCTCCTTGCCTTCTCATCTTGTCTCGCTGATGTTTGCTTTTGCTGGCTTAGGTTACGCTGTTTACTTTCCCCTGCATTCTATCCAAGTTTATCTCGTCCCGTAACGCTTTATAGCTCTGCTCTATGTGGAATTACATTTAATGTCCACCATTGTTTCCTTCGTCGTTCCTGATGCACAATTGGTGAATGAATTTTGGTGCAATTCATTTTATTTCCGTTAATCCCACCACTGTGTGCATACAAATTTCCATGGCCTGAGGGGAAGCCAATCGTACATTACTGCCCTCATTTTAATTTCTTTCACTAATTATATTCAAGCAATCGGAAACAGGTGAATGTACTAGTAGAGATGTACTATTCTTACAATAACAATTGGAACGAGAAATCATTGACCCTTCTGAATTTTAGCTTGTTCGGTCCGTGCTCCTCGAGACGTCTATCTCTTTCTCAAATCCAGTATCTTCCGCTCTTTCTCTCTCTCGGTTCGCGAGAACGTCCACATCCCCGACCCTCTTCCTCTCCTTACGACTCCGAGTAGGTTTCTTCCAACTGGAAACCCAACGCGGTTGTCCGCGAGGCGAAGTGACTCACTCGGTGAGTGGTACAACGAGCACTTGTCGCGAGCGGCCGCGGCGACGCGGATGCCGATTCCTCGGTCCCGATATTCCGCTCCGTGGAAAAGGTCCGTGTCGCGCTGTGCAACCAGCGCTGGTTGCGTAAGCTGATTTTACGAGCGAGACCGCGCAGCGGTGTCGTATCGGCACGCAGGTGGACGCGGACACGCTCAAGCGCGCGCGTGCGACCCTCCCACCGTGAGAACCCGCGCTCGAGACCTGAAGCTAAATCGCGGGCTGATTATCGTAGCGACGGATGAATTAAAAAACGTCGTCTACACTCTTCATGCACTTTCTCCTCTTGCTTATTGCTCTTTTTCGTTGTTCCTTCATGAATTGAACAATGAAATCAGGTTTTGTAATATTGTATATAGTTTTTAATGCTACTCTTGTATCTTTTACGATTTTCATTATTTAAATCTTGTGTCTATATATTTTTATGATTTTTATACTATAAATTCGACGATGCGTTTAAATTTTAGCGGATATTGGAAATTTGTAGTAGCATAGATTTTTCTTTTATTATTTTTTATTATTATGTTATTTGCTAAATGCTTTACTTTGTATAAAAATCTGCAGTCTGTATATTATACTACAACATGTCAGTTTAATTATGTAGTCTTTAGCGTAAGGTGACAACAGTCCCAATTATATCTTCGACAATACATTTTTTATGTCTGTCATATTCGTGGTTTGTGGGAGGCTAGAATGCGAATTGAATGAAATATAACTGAGCCATTCGCACGGGTTGAAATATTCCGTAGGGAAAATTTATTAGATTCGGAGAATGTAGAAAGTGGTAATAGGAATAGTTGCGCGTTGAGTAGTCGTTCGCAGAGAAATCTTACACCCGTGTCTAAGTGACGTGCTCAACAGTAATTGATTTACGCTGGATCAGGTACGAAGGTGTATTTCCTTCTCAAAATTTGAAATCTGTACATGTGTTCTCACACATTATAACATTTGGTCAATTGCATTTGCCATAGTAAGTGCATACGGGTTTCACATAAATTTAGTAAATAATTTATGGAAATAGAAGTTCTTTTATGTTATGATTTTTATGTGGACATGAATTCGGTCGAGGAAAAATCATTCGAATTTGAAAATAGATAGCTGCATTGATTTCGTTCTTCCTGGACATTGTGGATGAAACCGGGTAGATAATTTAGAAGCGACGTTTCGCATTTGTTCTTGCAGTAATGTACCGCGAGGAGAGGCCTCCCAGAT